TCTTAATATATATATGTATGTACATATATATACATATATATTTATTTAAAATGTTTAAAAGTTGTCCTTGAATATGATAATTTGCATTTGCACTCTGTGTCTGTTATTAACTATATACCACAGTCTCTGTCCCATTATTTAAAGGATTTTAAGAGGTGACTATCAAAATTTTTGTTTTTTTCAAATGCCATTGCACAATATCTATTTATATCCATGTCTCATTTCTCCTATAAGGCCCTAACTGACAACAGTACCTGAGGAGGAAATGATATTTTAAAAATATATTTTAAATGCATTTATTGCATTTAATTAATGTTTCCATTCTCCTTTTATACCAGGTATCCTTACATCATTTCCAGACCATCCAGTCAAAATCCACAGGAACTGGTGATCACCCAGAAGGCTCAGAAGGCATCTGATTGCATCCCTGTGAGTAGAGTTTCTGTGATTGGAGGGAGAAGGGTGAGGAGCAGGGACTGTGTTCTTTACCATCATACAGCTCTCTGCCTGAGTTTCTAAATCCTTACATGATGTGTGTTAAGAAACCTGTTTTGTTGTGCTTCTCGTCAGATACCATGATGTATTATCATGAAGTTAACTACCAAATTTGGAAGGGATTGTTTTTCCCTAGTTTATAATTTTTTTTTGCTTCATTTCTTATTTGTACAAACACTGGCCATTTCAGGAGCAACGCATTACGCCCCCTTTTAAGAAGCCCTCCCCACTCCCCCCCCCCAGGAGAACTTTACCAGAAGCAGGACTAGCACCAATTGTCAGTCAATTTTTGTTTCAAGGTCATGTCATTTGTACCCTGGCATTTGTTTGCCAGCGTTGCCTTGAGGAAGTACCACAGAGTGGGTGGCTTAAATGACAGTGATTTCTTTTCTCATAGCTCTGGAAGTTAAAAGGTGTCAACAGGTCTGGTTTCTTCTAAGGTCTCTCTCCTTGACTTGCACAATTTAATCTTTTTCCTGTCTTCATGTGGTGTGCGTTCTCTCTCTCACTCTTTCTCTCAGTTCCATTCTTCTTAAGAAACTTGTCATAGAGGAGTCAAACCCACCCTAAATAAACTTATTTTAACTTTATTGTCCCATTAAAGACCTGATCTCCAGTTCTTCAGTACGGCAAGGGTTGGGGAATGTTTAGTTCTTCAACATACGAATTTGAGGGGCACATAATTCAGTCCAAATTTCCCATCATCATTTTCCCCTCTACTATTTTGATTTCTAGTTAATTGTCCACAGACATCCCTCTGATTCTTCTCTCCTTAAGCCCCTTAACATTTCCATTGCTCTCAGAACAGTAGGTGTTCAAGAGGTGCATTGGAATTCTTGTCCACAACATAATTTCCCTATAACATGACTTTTCTGACAAGGAGGAACGAGTCTTTTCCATCTCTCACAGTCCTGGAGGAGTCTTGTATACAGTAACATTTATCATACTTAATAAGTGACTAATGAATGCATGACGATGAATGAAAAGATGATTAGAGGCAGCCTCTGAACGACAATTTATTGGCCTTCAAATGATTTCCATGTGATGATTATTAGTGATGCTTTCTCTTCCTCACTTATGATCCCCAAACAGTTGGCAGTAAGTCAAGATTGGAGAGAGGGGTTGGAAAAATGATATGATTAGTTGGTGGCAGGAGAATTACCACTTCCTTCCACGAGGAAGAAAACAGCGCATAGTATGATCCTGGCTCAGATATGGTTTCTCTTCAACAAGAACAATGATTGGGAACCAAGTGGGATGGATGATAAGTTCAATTGGGACTTACTGAAGATGAGGGACATCCGAGGCCACATGTCCGAGGCCACGATGCATAGCAAGTCTGCAGCTCAGGTGAGGAAAGGAGATAGACGCTTTTGGTCAAAGCCTCTACTTGGGAATTAAAGCCATGCCACTGGATGATACCACCCAGAAAGACCCAGGAAGAGGAGCAGTGTCTAGAAAAGTAACACTAGAAAAAAAAAAAAAGTAACACTGCATTTAGAATGTTCTGTTGGTGAATGGCAGGAGGCCATCATCCCACCGGGGCTGTGAAAGTGTGTGCGTTAGCCAGGGTGTGTGTCCATCTGTTTCTCTCTCTTGTGTTTTGGTCTTGTTAATTTCTTCTTCATCCAGTCCCTTGGGAGCTACATCCTGCCACCGTTAGCTAACTCCAGAGCATAGAGGGACTGGCCTTGGGTTGTGAAGACCCAGAACAAGTTTCTCTGAGCTCCACCATCAAGGAAATCTCTAATGTTTACCCTAGCCCTGGATTCCCTAATTGTTCCTGCTTACTATGACACAAATGAAAAGGGAAAAGATGTTTGTTCATTTCTCTTTCATTTTCTAAAGTATTATTTCTTTTCCTTTTGCTTTCTTTCTCTTTCTGTCTCTCTCCCTCCACCACTACAGTCCCTCCCCATCATGGTTCTTTCTTTAGTAGAACTCCTTGATATTTTTTTGGATTCCCCAAGTATTCAAGTATATGTAGAGGCTAACAGGAATCTGGAAGCTTCCTCCTCCTCTGCATACTCCCACCCATTTTTTAAAATGAACTTTGAGACACCAGCTTTCTTCAAGCATACTATTTCCATACTACTGTGTTCTTTGACTAGCCAGGAAAAAGATACCAGTTTTCACGCAGCTCCTCAAAATGTCAGTAACACCTGAGCCAGTGGTTTTTACTGAACTACCTATCTAAATGAAATGAGAAAGAAGGAATTTCCAAGCTTGAAAACAGGTCTGTGATCCATGAATGGCCTAGTTTGGGGTGTTTCAATGAATGGTGGCCTGGGGCCAGCATAGGTGTCTCCTGACTGTGTTTTGTTAATTTCAGTCCACTATAGGGCATGCAGAGAAAGATGGCTTTCCTGTGAGCATGTGAAAGAGGTTCTTTGAGTGGTGAGCACCTAGCAGGCTTTGCCCTTGTTTTAAAACAGTGTAAATGGGAGATTTTATAACCACTGTGGGCCAATATTTTTGAAGTCAGTTGAAGCTCCAGATGGAGTGGAAAGAAAGGGAGTTTTTTCTTCCTCTTTTCTTGAATTTTGTGGAATGAACCTCCCTGGACACCCCCACCTACTGTTCCATCTCCTGTTTAAGTGTGCCCACACCTGTGTCAGCAGGAGCCACAGGAGTCTTTGCTCATGCAGAAAGCTTTCCTACTCTTCTACAGATTTCAGGCTGCTTTGTAAGAAGGTCTCAGATCCACTTCTTTTTTGTTTAAGATTCATTTATCTATGCATATAGAACTAGGGTACCGGTTAGAGGTGCAGGGGGTGAGAGGATTCACCAGAGACAGAGTGGGGAGCAGAACAAGCAGATTGATGAAGTACACTGCTGAGGGGAGCAGCGGGCAGGTCAGGAGAGGTCTCCTGTGCCATATGGATCAGCGCCCTCGTTGGGGATTGAACTCAGGCTACAGTAGCTGCAATAGCTTCATAGTGCTGTGCCTTAGCCCATTGTGCCACCAGGGAGACTCACCCACTCTCTCACCTGTTCTCAGGTCCTTATCATGGGGCCTAAGGAGGAAAATACTCAATGAGCTTAAATTTGGTCAGGCATTGTGGGGGAACGAGGAATATGGCTGCCCAACTTTGTGGAAACTTTCATGAGAAGGAGGTCAAAGTAGATCCCAGCATCCCTCATGCAGATTTTACAGCTTTGGTCAATGATGGAGTTTCCCCGGCCAGGGGATTGGCCAGGGTATGGTACATGGGATTGTATAGTTTTCACTGGCCAGGGCACCACCAAGGACGCCTGTCCAGCACACAGGAGGTAGGCAAAGAGCTTGTGCCCGGGAGGGGACAAGCAAGATGGGAGGCAGCAGAGAAAAAAGGTGGTTCCCACAGTTCTGGCCTGGAACTCCTTGCCAGCCGTTAGGGCTGATAAACATGCATTAATATTGCAATACAAAGAAAAAGAATGACTGTGTACTTGGCTTGCAACCACAATTATTGAAAATTTTACCTGGAGGTCCAACCGTGAGAAGATTTGTGTGATTCAAAGACAAAGATTCAACGGCTTCCTAACCCAGCTTTGGGGCATTCAACAAAACTGAGCTGTGAATGCCCGGCTGTGCCCAGGACTCTAGGAGGATCTAAGTAGCACAAACACTCAATCTGGGGGGGAAATCTGAGACATTTTCCTTCCTACTATTCTCTGTATTCCAGGACCAACTTAATGCCAAATGAGATCTTGATTTTTTGAATGACTTTTAGTAGAGGAAAAGGCAGAGCCATGTTCCCTAAAACAGATATTTGAGGCCAAATTTATTACTTGAGTTTTTTTTCCCTCTTCCTTTAAAAAATTTTTTTTTTTCTAATTCAAAACAAAATGTCTGTCATTCACTCTCACACCAGCCTTTAAGAGCTGGAGACAAATGGAGTCTGAATATTCACGCCAGTGTGGTATAAATGAGCTGTGATTTCAGGATGTTGGCTGTTTCTCTGACGGGGGTATGGGGAGGGGCGGGGAGTGGTTGACTAGTTTAATATCTTTGGCTGGGAACACTTGGTTTAAGAGGGATGGAGGAGGCCAATATTAATATTGAATCCTGTTATTTAAGGACCAAAATGATATATCATGGAATGGGGGGGCATCCTGAGTTTGGGGAGAAGAGTGTGTCTCCCATCCAGAGGATGCAGGGAGAGTGAGTGAGAACACACGTAGGGTGGAAGGGGGAAGGGAAGACATTCTTCTGAAAGATTATTTTTTTTCTTTTTTTCTTCTTCAGGGGCTTCTTCCCATAAGTTCCTTATGTCCATGGTTGCAAATCTGATTCTTTCACTTTCTTGGGAAAGTTGAGAAATATAGAGTCATCTGTTACAGTAAGAAACTCTGCAGTCATAGCTAACTGTCTCCCCCACATTGGCTCCTGATGGATGAGAAATAAAAGATGGAGTGGGCCCTCCCTGGTGGCACAGCTGTTTAAAACGCAGCACTGCAAAGCTGGCGGCAGCCACTTCTATGCAAGTTCCATCCCTGGCCCCGGAGGTGACCCACATGGCACGGCTGACCTCTCCTGTCTCACCACTACTCACCTCAAAACTGTACTTCATCAGTCTGTCTGCTCTGCTCCCCATTCCGTCTCTGGTGAATCCTCTCACTGCCCCTGCACCTCTGGCCTGTACCCCAGTTCTATGTGCATTAAAAAAAGATAAAAGATGTAGTTGTAAATTGGGTGGTACTGGGAGACTTGTGACAACCATTAGCACCGTCTGCCTTTTTCCTGCACCTCCCAGAAGCATTCAGCCCCCCATTCCCCTATTCATCCTACCGCTGCAGACTGAGTCGGAGCCACTCCCTCCCAGTGCTATGTTGGGCCGGGGCTCCACCAGCCATTCTGCTCCTCTGCTCTCGCTATAAAATGAACTCTTTTTTACTCATGCAATGGAAAATTTGGTGAATCCAGTAATGTGCTCATTGACGTAAACAGT